GCCTTGGTTCTTTGCTTCAAGCTGCCAGGAAATGATGGCTCTGAATACCAATTGTTATGACCCTACGAGAGAAGAAGAATAATCGAAGGAATAGAGGAATAGAGATTAAAGAAGAGAAGAAAAGGGATTCAAGAAAACTGTGAATTCATTCAATCATATTCTGCCTCAGCCTTACCTAGTACATTGCTTATATATTTACATTGTACCAACCTATTTACCAGCTGGCAATACAACTGTCTCTAACAGATAGATTCCTTTGCAGGTGTTGTTGGCGTGACTTCTTCACTGCTGGCAGTCCTCCGTCTTCTCCGATTTCTAAATCTCTCATGATCATGACACAATGCTCGTGGTAAGAAGACTGATACTCTCTATGTAACCTCAAACTTAGAGAATATCATTACAGTAGCAGATGTTGATGGAAAATCAAACCTATGGAACCAAAGGCTTGGCATATGAGCGAGAAAGGGAGCTGAAAGGGCAAAACGAAACCTCACATAGAAAAGAACTATGTACCTACATATTCTTAGATGAAGACCAACTAACAAAACTGAGCAGCATTTCTAGAAGAAAATGATGATAATAGAAAACTATAAATTTATTTCACATAAAGATATCTTATTTTTGAAAATACCTAGAAAAAATGTCTTCCCCCTTGTTCCCAAATCCCATAACAATCATAGGGTTCCAAATATATATAGATTTAACTATACTTACTTCAGCAATCTTCATTTCTTCTACAAAAGCAATAGAAACTTCTGCATGGAATATGATAAACTCCACAGCACCAACACCTATAATATAGGCGACAAAGGATCAAACAATCATTAACAATATGCAGTGGTATTGAGGTACATTCATCATTAAAAGAGTTTAAAGATGTTACAAGTAACAATTGAGACCAAGTAAAAAAATGAGGAAAGCTAGGTAACACACATAGGATTGTTGTTTGCTGAAAGTAGAGACTTAATGAAATACAAAACAGGTTTTATGGGTTATCAAGAAGAAATACCTATAGTGTCTTATAAAGGAACACAAGAGATTCCATGAGCATTGCAGGCCTGCATCAATGCTGGGGCATTAGTAAACATTTTGGGGAACAAGCATTTTGGAAGTGAAGAGTGTGCTCAGGAGAAACTCAGTATATAAGTCAGGCAAAAACATGCTAGAATAGCGATACCTCCATCGTGATTATCCACTCTTGGCAATTGGCAAATACCACATTTTCCTCCCTGTAAACAAGAATAAAAAACCATAAAATTTGAACCATACGCATAAACTGCAGCTGTGGTTAATGATCGCAGAAGCTTTGATTTTTGGGAGAAAAAATTTTACAATATAAAAAAGTTAGTGTATTATTACCTCCTCAACACCACAGCTCCGGATGGAATTCCCCGCTTTTATTACAGTGTCATAAACTTGTTTGTAAATTTGCCACACATATTTTCCAGCCTGCAGTGAAAGCACATAATTTTAGATGCACAAACTAAAAGTCAAGATCAAAGGTAAAAGCAGAACGCAAAAGCAATAAAAAAAATCATCAATGTAGGATAGCAGCATACATCCCCGTCCACGATCTGCCGGCGACCAAGCATTGGGTTGTCTGAATATTTCTCAACTGACATTCTGCAAAGAGAAGATGAAATATGAATCATTGTCATAGTGGAAGATTTTTTTATTTTTTATTTTTAAAAACACTCTTTTGTCGCATAACACATACGAGCTGTGTTAGTTAGTAACACGTTCAACCATACATGAACATGAGGTAAATTATAAAGCAGAAAATTTTAATCTCCACGTCACATCAACAGCGAGCTTCAGAATTGAATTAATAACTACAATTAAACATATAAATCTTAGTTGAATGAAAGCCACCGATAATTCAACCAGAAGCATGGAAATCTCAACACCTTGATCCATACGAGTGTTTAAAATTCAACATTTTCAAACATCAGGCGTTCCAATAATATAATTAAATCTTATGCTCCGTGAATGTAACGTTCTCGTTATTTTCAAAGCAACCAAAGAAAAAGAGAGAGAGAGCTAAAAATCTAACCGGAAAATATCCCAACAACTGTCCGATCCAGGAATCGGAGCAGGGAATCCATTCTCAGTGAAATGACTCCGATAAACAGGGCCGATCGACGGTTTCTCACCGGTGGCGGGCGTTGCTTCCTCGACCTTTATTATATAACTCTGCTCAGCCATTTGATCAAAATGGTTCGAATCAGAAACCTTGTCACTATAAATTGTTTTAAATATCCTCTCTTTCAACCGCTTAGATTATTATATAAATATGAAGAAAATTTGTAAATATATATATATAATGCCAAAGAAATGAGGAGTCCGTGGCTTTGTGTGATCGGCTAAACAAAAAACGACGGTTTGTTACTTTTTGGACTGCATAATGCAGCTCTGTTTATTTTTGTAGGGCTTTAATCATAAAAAGCATATTAATATAAATAAGGGTAAACTATATGCACGAACCCCTTAATTATAATAAGATTCCAATCTTATCTAGGGATGGACATGGGTCGGGTTTGGGTACGGTTTCGGCTAACCCGACTCGACCCGACCCAAAAAATATATATCCTTCACTTGATCTGACTTTTTGAGATAAAATCCGAACTTAATCCGACCCGACCCGAAATAATAATAAAAATATTATTTTTATTCAATAAAAATAATTATTTAATTAAAAAATAATATAGAGAGGGGTATTATTGTAATTATTCCTAAATATAAGATAAATTTATATTTTTTTGGGTCGGGTCGAGTATTTTTCACCCTAAATCAGAATCCGATCGGAACCGAACATCACCTTTAAAAAAATTCGACCTGACCCGAACCTGAATTTTTTTAAAAAGCACGACCTGATCGGGTCGGTTCGGAACCCGTCGAGTTCGGGTCTCATGCCCATCCCTAATCTGATCACTTAATTATTTAATTATATGAACGATCTTTTAATTTTATTAATCAGATTATTTAATTATTTAAATGTTGTCAATCAAATTACATGTCGTTATCATTTGACAGATGTAATAATTAATAAAATTAATATAATTATATATTTAGTCCTCATTATTTTTAAATTCTATCAATTTGATCATAATCTATTGAATTTATTAAATTAAATTAAAAATATGACTAAATTGATAGTATGTGTAAGTAAGGACAACTAAATTTCTAATTATCTCTATTTTATTAACTGTCATGCTAGCTCCTCCGTCGATAGCTTAATTGCCCTTGTTTAAATAGTTACAAAATTAAAAATTGATGGGTAAATATTTGAGTGAAGAAGGCTTTAGGCATTCCCGAAACCGATGGCTACTACCCCCACGACCTTTACTATTCATTGTTTTCACCGATCAAACAAACTGTCCAACCAGCTAGAACGACAACAGAACAGTTGGCCTCACATAATTGTTTTTACACTAAATTTTTAAAAATTATTAAATAATTATTAAATTTATTGAACTGTTATAAAACTATCATTAATTTTATTGAAATGTTATAAAACGATCATTAAATTTTATTCATATGAATTACAAAATGATCTTTAAATTTATCACTTATTATAAGTCGTAGTGACCATTTTGTAATAATTCAAAAAAATTAATGATTATTTTATAATTTTTAAAAGTTTAATAATCAAAATAATCATTTGAACATAGTTTGATGACTTATGATGTACTTTACCCTATATTTATTAAATTATTCAATATATACAACATAAGTGGCCATTTAACTAATAGAAAATTTTAATATGAACACTAATCTTTTAAAGATATGAACTTATAAATTATACGTATGCTTCACCCATCAGTCCATTCTTGCCCGCTAATACGTTGTATCAACATTTTTAAAAGATTTTGTAAGTGCGAACATTACCTTTAAAATTTTACACTTAACTTTATAAGTACGCTTCACCCAAAATAATTTGATTGAATTATAAAATTTTAAAAGCAAGCGGACTTATAAAGTTTTAGAGGAGCTGTCACCCCCATCAAATCCCTCAGTTCATTCCTGCCTACCAATATGTTGTATCGATGCCTATTGGAAACTTTTATCTTTGTAGCCACATCAGGCAGCAACAAAGGAGAAGAAAATGTAGCAACATAGCAAAGGCGATCATACACTAGATTCGTTGTTTGTCGATATGAAGGGAGAACGAAACAGGGTAATGTTCACATCAAACCAATGTTGTACGACGTAATGGTGGCAGTCAACAAAGAACGTCGATTTGACAACTGATGGTGTTCGAGATGCACTCCTTGTGCTGTTGGACCGTGGACGAGCTGTTTAACAACTTCTCTCGCATCTTATCTGCTTCGAGCTTGATATTGGCTTCTTGTTTTTCACTTTCGCTGTCAGATAAACTTCCTCTTTCAAGCTTTTACGGTGAGAATGTGATGATTCAGTTATACTCTTACAGTTTCGTTTGAACTGAGGATGTCTGCAAACTGATTTTCTTTCATTTACATACTAAGCTTTTTGTCGCTTTTGGAATGCGTCTATATATCATGAACCAACAGTCCAAAGCACACGAGCAGCAGTTTCAGACCCTGCATTACGTAGGAATGAAAAGGGTAAAGTACACCCATGCTCGTTGAACAAGTCTTAATGCTATTTCCACTTGGTTTTTGTCTAAATCTACCTCTAAACGCCACTTTCTTCAGGCTTTGCAGGTCTCACAGATACTGAAACAATATAAAAAATATTAAGAGGCATGGATCAACATGGGGGTGTAGCTTATATGGTAGAGCGCTTGCTTCGCATGTGAGAGGCATGAGGTTCAGTTCCCCGCACCTCCAATCTCTCTTTTACTACATTTATGTGAGAATGTCTTAAATGCAGGTTGAGGTTCAATTCCCCACACCTCCAATCTGTCTTTTACTACATTTATGTGAGAATGTCATAAATGCAGGTTTTGTTTTAAGGTCCAAGTTAAAAATTATATATTCATATTAAAGGATATAGAAAAGTGAGAGAAAGAAGGGAGGATGGCAAACTACGATAAGATAATGAGCCAAACGAGACTAGTTAAGCGAGTTCCTCGAGACAGTCCGTCGGCCGGGAATGACACGGTGGTGATTTACACGACCTTATTGAGGGGTGTCCCCCGCACGTCCAAGCATAGCAATAAGGTACAGGGGATACACGAGGTCCAACGCGTGGTTTTCGACGAGCTGGATGTGTCGTTGCATGGGGAGTTCTTCAACAAGTTGAGGGAGTTACTAGGGTATGAAGCGATCGTGCCGAGGGTGTTTGTTAAGGGACGGTATCTTGGTGGAGCCGAGGAGGTGATTGAATTGAATGAGACGGGAAAACTTAGGAAAATACTGAGTATGAGGCGGTTGGCTTGCGAAGACTGTAGCGGAACGAAATTTGTGTCGTGTGTGGAGTGCGAAGGAGGTATAAAGTGACGACGAGTGGGGCTGATAAGGGGGAGCAGTGTAGGCCTTAGATTTTTTGAATGGCTAACCCAATTGGGCAAAGCACTAAAGACTAGTGTGAAAAGTTAAGCTCTTACGAGGCTGGTTCATGTTGACTTGTTTTGCTGGTTTTAGAGGAAAAAAATGAAACCTTAAAACGAAGCGAAGCCTGCATTTATGAGATTCTCACAAAATATTAGTATAAGATAAAATTGGAGGTGCGGGGAATCAAACCTCGTGCCTCTCACATATGAAACGAGCTCTCTACCATATAAGCTACATCTCATGTTGATCTACATCGTTTAATATTTATTATATTGTTTCAGTATCTGTGAGACCTGCAAAGCCTGAAGAAAGTAGCGATTTAAGGAAGATTTAGACGAAAATCGACTTGTTCAACGAGCATGGGTGCACTTAACCCATTGTCCAACTTGTCTTTAGTGCTCTGCAATTTCATGGTTAGCCCAATTGGGTTGGGCCTAAGAGTTTTTAAGTTTGATATTGATATTTATTGGGGAAGCAAGTGTTGTGCTCTAGTAGTGTATCTCTACCCTTTGCAAGTTGTTGCCCCTTTTTCAAGTTGTTTCTTATACATACGATACGTATATAATCATTTCAATATACCACCTTCAAAAAATATAATAATAGATTTTTTTCTTTTACTTGTATGAAAATTGATGAATTATTTTTTTTATTAAAATTTAATTATACAAATTTATTTTATTGACATCTCATCTCACTAAGTGTTATTGAAACTCTCCACACCTCTGATGACTTTTGAACTATAATCACCGTATGAACCATCATAATCTTATTCTAATTTTCTTGACAACAATCTTAGTTGTTTAGTTTTATCATTTTTTTTTGCATGCGGAGCTATCATGGTGTAAGTAACTTCTCCTAAGTTCATAAGGGGTTAAGGTGTGCAGGTATTAAGACCAAGTGGATGATACAATGTCTATAAATACCCGAGGACGTTTGAGGAGTGAATTTGCACTCTAGCATTCATTATGCCCCACAGAATCTCTCTTCCAAAAGTACTTGTGGCTTCTGGACTAATACATGGCTTATCTATTTGGACAGGTTGTTTTGAGATTGACTAATGAATTAAGAGAATAACTCTTGTCAAGTATGACATGATATTATGACTAGTTAATCTAGGGCACAAATCATTGAGGGAAAGGTTGACTTGTCTGAGAATTGCCTCATAATTGTTGATATATTAATTTAATAATATTATTTGGTTGGAGTAAATTATTGATTTTTATATAATAAAAAGATAAATTCATAGGGGGGAAACCATGTGATATACTTAAAATAGACATTTAAATGGCTTTTGCTATGATTCTATTATTGGTGAAGTAAGTAGTATTTTATTGACTACTGAAATGCTTAGCAGTATAGAATAACACTTTGAGACGACAAACGAAAGCATCTCATTATTGTGTGTGGATGGGATTCCTCCTTCACCTAACTTGAAGCACTAAATCGGTAGCCAATATGGTTTAAAATTTGGTATTTAGAAAAAGTAAAAAATATATATATGAATAAATAATCCAATGGAAAGGTAATAACATGGAATTTGACCTTAGTTTAGTGGTGTGCTTATTAAGTTTGACCAATCATTTGGAGTTTTAATGACATTCCTCTCCTAATCACATTATGATATATATATATATATATTTGATCCAACGGTTGGAAGCATTTAATCTAATCAAATAATTATTTTACATTTATATTTTATATATACAAATAATTCTTTTTATTCTATGTGAAAATAGATGGATGTATTTATTTTTTAATGTGTATAATTAAATCAAAATCAAGGTTTTTGGAAAATAAAATGAATATGAGACCTGGAACTAACAAGTTTTGACATGGCTCAATCCTATAAGGTTAAGTTTATATATATATATAATTAGGTTCACTTCAATTTAGGATGATTTTTTTAAAAGAATAAGATAATGTAGAGTTTGAGTTAATGATAAAAAATCTCTAATTCGATTTTATCCGAAATAACAATATAATAATCTTTTATACATTTAAGGATCATTGCAATAATATCCCTCTTAATTTTTTCAGCTAGACATCTATTTTATCTAATAAAAACTATATATATATTTAAGGATTGAATTTCGAGTTAGGTGGAGTCTCCCTAAACTCGAGTCAGATTGAATGACAAGTAAAAAATTAGAATATCAACCAAAAACCCGACCCTTTCTAATTCAGTCAATCTTTACATATATTTAAATCAAAACCTAAGTTTCATATGTATGACATTATAGAATCAAAATTTATAAATCACATTACATATTTGATCAAAATTTATATATAATATTAATACTTAATAAAAAAACATTCTCCTTAAACTATATTATAACACATTGGATTCCAACCAAAGTGATTCACTCTTTAGTGACTTCCAAGGTTATCCCATACATATATTCTTTCGATTTATAATGTTGTCATTGTTTATCTTATGTTAGCCCACACTCAACAATGCCCTAACATAGGCGGGTCGCCTCAGGGGTTTTTATGGAACTTTGATTATACGTTATTAAAAATGAAATCGATTAAGTTTCTATTTAAAATTATTATAATATATGATTTTCTGGTTCACTATATTATAAAATTATAGGGATAGGTCACATTTTAACTCTTGAATCGGTCTAGTACTTCTACAATAGTATTTAAATTTATTTACTTTGTCTATATTGGTTTTAGATTTTTTTTAAACTTTTTTTTCATATTAGTTAAAATTTTAAATTCACATTGGTATTCGAACTTGTCTACTTTTTTCATATCAATTTTTTTTGTTACGATATTTAAAGAGAATGGACTAATAAAATATATAAATTTTGGAAAAGTAGATAAATTTAGATATTAATTGGACTTGTTACCAAAAAAGAAAAAGATATTAATTGGACCAAAGAAATATTTAGGTACTAATATAAAAAAAATAAACAAGTTCAAGTACCAATACAGATTTTTAAAAACATTTGTACTAATGTGGAAAAATGGACAAGTTTGAAGGCTAAAATGTGACTTATCCAAAAAAATCTGGGATGTCAGCAGGTGCAAGATGGAGGGCCATGGCCCCTTTAAAATGGGAAATTTGTTCATTAGCCCATTTAAAAGTTATAATTTTATATAGTAGTGCATGCTAAAATTACATTTTGGTCTGGCTATTCTCACATTGGTACCTGAACTTATCCCAAATTCTACAATGTCAGCAGGTGCGAAGTCAGGGGGTTGGATTAAATTGGAATTTTTGTCCATTAACCCCATGTAAAATTATAATTTTATATAATAGTTAGAGCTGGGTATATGGGCTAAGGCCCGCGGGCTATCCGTTTAACCCGCGACCCGTGCGGGCTTCGGGCCTCAAAAATTGAAGACCGTTTAAATTGTGGGCTTTTTAGCCCGGACCGTTAAACCCGCGGGTTTAATGGGTATAACCGCGGGCTACCCGTTAAACCCGCTAAAGCCCGCTTAATTTAAAATTTATGAAATTTTAGAAAAAATAAACTTAAAGAATTTTATAGAAAAAGAAAATAAATTACTTATAAATATGATGTTACTTATAACTATTGTAGTTCTTAAATTTATTAAGGTGTTTGTCATAATTTTACCGTTGCTTGATATTTTTTTCATTTAAATATACATCATTATCATTTTGGTATTTAAAGTTTTTTTATTTAATTATGACCTTTATTTTTCATGAAGTATGTTATCCATTTTGTTATTTAATTATAAAAAGTCACGTGATATTCTAATAATATCACATGACACGTAATATTTGGATTAAAAATAAGAAAGAAAATAAAATTAAAATAAAATATATTTTTCAACTTTTAAAGACTTTTACAAAATAAATATATTTTAACAAATTAATACTTATATTTTATCAATTTTAGTATAATTGTATCTTTCAAATTTGCTCTATACTATAAGTATTTTATTTTATATTTTCATATTATGTTTTAGTATTTCTCTAAAGTATCCAAAATACAATTATTAGAAACACTTGACAACTTTCTGTTAGATTTGTATAATGTTTGACTTTGTTAAATTTTTAAGTTTGAATTTCTACTTTCAGACACTTCTGTGTATTCATATTATACCTTGAATAATTGTGTTTTATAAAAGTATAATGTGGTTATTGTTTTTTTTTTCAATTGGTGATATAAGTGATATTGTTTTTTAATTTGAGTTTTAAGTAATATATCATATATATATATAATTATATATTAATGATTAAAAAAATTAAAAAAATATTATTTATAATCATTTCCGCTATTAAATAAAATTTAAATATTATTATTATTTTGACAGTGCTACCTTCCTTTTCAAGTTGCTCGATCATTTTTAAAGGTGTAGTAAGTTAAAACATTATTTTTTATTGTATTTAAAGTATTTAAAATTATTTTTATTAAACGGGCCGCGGGTAAGCCCGTTTAGCCCGCGGGTTAAATGTACGGGCCGCGGGTCTTAAAATTCAAAACCGTTTATGAATGCGGGCTTTTTAACCCGCACCGTTTAAGCCCGCACCGTCAAAACCCGCGGGCTAAACGGGCGGGTAGCCCGTATACCCACCTCTAATAATAGTACATGGTAAGAATATATTTTGCCCTCCCTAAAATGATAAAAGATCTAACTTAATCCTTCTAAAAATTATAATGTTACAAACAAATACAATGATAAACATTATAATTCAATTTTGACCCCTCAGTTTTTTGAATACTCTAAATGATTATAAGGTAATATATTTTCAAAATCTTTCTTAACCATTGATAACACACACCTTATAGACACAACTGATTGAAACCAAAATCATTAGAAAAACAACACTCCTCTTAACCATTAAAGGTCACTTAATGAATTTGATGAGTCAACATTTTTTGGTTCAAGCCTAAATGTGAGTGCATTAAATATATTTAATTCATTGAATAAAACATTTATATGTACGATGGATGTAAGACATAATTAATGGAAAATTGTATGACATGGAGTGCTCAACCATGTTAATTAAATGCACTCATTATTGTCGTAATCTTCCATTACACGTTTCTCAATATAAATTCTGAAGTGTTAGAGTCTAACGGCAGACAGAACGTAGTTATATATATTCAACAAGAGAGAATATCAACTTCGGGAAGGGAGAAAGGGTCACAAAGTACACGCCCTCATATTATAATTCCATTGTCACAAGTATTAATAATTAAGACGGATATTAAAGTTAAGCTTAAGAAATTCATTATCATGCTTAAGGGAAATATACAAACATAACCTTAGCTGTTTCTCAATAAACATTATTATTATTATTTTATTATTATTATTATTATTATTATTATGGTATAATACTAAAATCAACCCTTA